CCCCAAAACCCCAAAACCCCAAAACCCCAAAACCCCATGCTTCTAACTTTATTAAAATTCAAACAAATTGAAGTTGATTAATTAAATTTAATGGAAATTAGATTAATCTGGTGTTTTATCGATAGCCTTGCTTCATAAAAAATCTATTAATCATGGTAAGGAATTCCACATTTGTTTGGACATAGTTTCTAAAATGTAGCCTCCGTTATGAATTGTGTTGACATTTACGAATCCAGTGTCATGCTAGATTGTATCAAACTTTTAACTAGAAATTAGTTCTTATTATCCTATTTTAGACTATTCTAAACATGCTGACTGTCCATCCATATTTTTGTGAATTTCTGGAGCTATCTCAAAATTTCTTATCCACCGAAATCCTTTTTCTTTCAAAAGCCTAAAGTTTATGATTTTTCCTTTTTTGAAATGCTGAGTCTCATTCAATTATCTCAAGCCAAAAACACCAACATGCATTCTTAACTTTTCAAATTTCTTGAGCTCTTAAGTATTGATAAATTCTCCTTAACTCAATATCAAAACATAATCATCATCTTAAGCCCCTAGTTCCTTTAATCTTTTTATCAATTAGTCCTCAAGAAGTTTATTTTGATCTACATTTACATCAATTACTTTAGTTTTGTATTTATTTTCGATTATCTGCTTTATTTATTGCTAAAATTATTTGCTAGATTAAGATTTTTCTTATGTTAGTGACGCCATTGATAAAATAATAAACTGATCTACATGCCCTTTTAATTATTCAATCTAGTTTTATATGATATCAGTCTTTTGATCAAAATAAATGCAAGCAAAAATTCTTTTCTTACTATCTGGCTTAATTTAAACTTAACCTTTGATCTATGCTTAGTTGTAAAATTCTACATAGCTTTTTAGAGTATCAGTTAATACGATTAAATCTTAAGGAGTTTGACTTGGCTTTGTGCCATAATGAGAAAGAATTAACTCTTAAACATTTTCAATATTGAAGCCTTCGCATGTTCTAATAGGCATTCTTTTGTTAATTATATCGTTCATAGTTTAACTTAAGCATTAAAAGTCAGTATGGTCTAACAATGATGGACTTAACTTTTAAAAAGCTTCTAATTATTTCACAGGGATCCAAGTAGACTTGTGATCATTAGCTATTTTGTGATAGTGCGAAAGTTTTTTGAAATGTGATCTCACACCTTATACTTAGGCGTCATAAAATCCCATTTTGATATTTTCATGCTCTAGTTCATAGAGTAGTTTAAGCCATTATCTATAATCTGATTAGCTGGTGTGTTCATAATAAAAATGCTTTTTCATTTTATCACTCATTCTCACGAGTACAGTACCATGAGTGAATATATTTTAAGTTGCCAAGGATATTTTTACATCCCAGTAATTTAATAAATTTCTATTTTAGGCCCAAGTATATGTGCCTGCTGGATCATATTCTTGATTTTTTGCGCCTACTAGGTCTAACTCTTTATTATAAATTAAGTAATTCAACTACTTTTCTATTCTATCAGATAACATAATATCGTCATCATCAAACACAGTAAAGAATTCTCCTTTTATGTAAGAGATTGCATAATTGTGGGCAAATGTGCATTGCTAGTTTGTATAAAGATACGAAACTCTTATTCTTGGAATACTTTGCAAAAACTAAAGAATTTGTAAGGTAAGTAAGTTATGAGAGCCATCATCAACAATATGAAGCTCCCAGTTAGTGTAGGTCTATTCTATTATACTATTGACAGCTTAGATCAAAAGGTGATCCCTGTTATAACTTGCCATAGCAATTGAGACAAGTGGATATTGACTTGGATATTTATTAACCTTTTACTAGTATCTAAGACTCTGTGTGATCTGTTCAATTACATTTTTAAGTTATTTTTATCGCTTATTGTCGGAATTTTTCTCTCTTAAGAACTAATCAATCAAGAGATATTAGGCTATTTATTTTAATTTTTTGTCACAAGCTAGGGAATCAAAAGTGCAGTTGAGAAATTAAGAATATTCTAGAGTCGTTAGATTATTAACTTACTTGCTCTATAGGTATCTATTATAATGCTAAAACTTGATTCTATCTTTCTGCGAAATGAGAATATAGTCACTTGTATACTTGTACCGATAATTTGATACTGAGATGTTGACTAAGTAATGATTGATCTCAATGGGTTCTTATATAGAAATCATTGAGTTCAAAAAATCGAATCTATTGAGATGCTTTGAATGTTGTGAAATTATTTAAAAGTAGGATTTCCTTAAAATCATTTGAAATTCAAACTTTGGATATTTAGTAAACAGTAGATAGTCAAGACCTCTTTTATATTCTCTTTAAATTAAGCCCCTATTGCAAGTTGGAAACCATCCCCCTTCATTTTCATATATTGATATATCTGACAAAAGTGCCTAAAAGTTTTGACTTTTTGCCATTTAAGAAACAATTTGTAGTCTCTCAGGCTTACTTTGAGTTAAGATGTGAGATAAGACTATGAACTCTCCATTTATTTGATCAATAAAGTCCTTAATGATACCCACAAAGTCATTTGCCTCTATATGAGCAATATACTTGATTTTTATGTGCTTTTATTAGGTATAGTTCTGCTCAACATATTGCTGAATTTGATCAATAGTTTATTAGCTCGACACTGCCACTAAAATCTCATAGTTAGGATAATTCTGTAGCAAAGCACTTCCAATGTTGGACTAAAGATCTTGATTAGTCCCCTCTCCATATATGAGGATTGTCATCATTGAATCGCTCTACAAATTCTAACTTTATTTGTCGATTTGTTAACAATTATTGATTTGAATAATTGCGATTATAAAAAGAATAAAGGCCTAAACCATTTTCTAGCTTAGTTTAATCATTATATTATATAGTAATTAGATGATTTTAGATATTATCTTTAACAAATAATAACTAAAAGTTCTGAATTTAAATAATATTCACTTAGATTTTGAATAACTATAAGAAAGGGGTTTTGGGGTTTTGGGGTTTTGGGGTTTTGGGG